ATTAAATTTCTGGGCTTCAACGGAGTGTCATATTTTTTGTTATTCTATTTTATGTCCATGGCACAGGGATGATCCAGAATCTGTGGAGATTTGTTTCAAGGATATGGAGTGCCTTGCACCTGAAGGCTATCTAACGTCGCCTATAATGAATTTTTACATCCAGTAAGTTTATCAGGCACAGTTTAAATTTGGTCCAAGAATTTAGGTCTCATTCCTTTGACTACCTTATGGGTTATTTGGAAATAGAGAAATAAAAGAACTTTTGAGGGCAGAGCATTGTTATTTGATAAGATCGAGGATACTTGCTTCCAATTGCACTTGTGAGGATTTAGGGGATTCGTTTGATATGTCAATAAACTTTTGAAGTTTTTGTATACAGGTTTCACCCTTTTGATGCTTTTTAATAGTTTACCTTTTTCTTTAAAAAAAAATTGGTGCAATGACTAGGAATTTTCATATATCAATTTCTTCTGCACTACTCTAGTTCCATTGCTAGTTTGGTTTCTGCAATCCAGTATCTGTAAGGCAGTATGTTGTTACTGGTTTGAGTAGAAGCAAAAAATCTTATGGGAATTGCTTTTCTTTTCAAACAGGAAACTGAGCACCACGGCTCACACTCACAGGACCCTCTGATAGCCATGTCTCATCTCTATGGTCTTTTCACTTTTCTTGCTTGAGAGTGAGTAATGGCTCCTGCATTGTGTTGGCAAGATATCTGGATTGACCACCCTTCCTAGCCTTTAACTGTGGTCTTTTAACCTTTCCTTGTATCATAACAATCTCATTTGCCGCTTCATTAATCAACTTGATGGACACACCTACTTCTTCTTCTCTAGGAATTTAAATGATTGAGAGTCTGATAATCTTCTCTTTGCTGATATCCTTCAGCCTTTTACAATCTCTTCGCAACTTGATACCAGAATTTGGACCTTCGAATTTTAGTGTGTCCACTTGCAAGTTCCTCTTAAACCCATTTCACCCATAATTCTAGTTACTAAAATGAGACTTTCACTAGTGCATTTTGGAAGGCTAAAGCCGCCTATAAGGTTAAAGTTTTTGTCTGAATTGCTGTCTGAATAAACTTAAACACATATGATTTGTTTCAAGTTAATAGACCAATCATGCTCTCTCTCCTGATGTTTTGTTATGTGTTTTAGGGAGGTTGAGTCCCGTTGGCTTCTCTTTTATATTGTGAGGTGGCTTGGGGACTTTGGTCTAGGTTTGGTGATACTTTTGGCGTCATGGGGGTTACACCTCTTCCCCTTGTGTGTTTCTGTGCTCCTTAGGTGAGTTGGGTCAGAGAAAGAAGCTAAGATGCTCTGGGAAGAGTTCCCTTTCTATGGTTGTTTTTGTTGTGGCTGGGGTTCAACGCTAGACTTTTCAAGGATGATTACTTTTCTCCATCTTACCTCTGGAACAGAATAGTTTTCTTTGCCTCTTTATGGCAAAGGCTCACAGATTTTTTAAAGATGCTTCTGACTATTTTACTGGGCATGGAGATGCAGCGTTATTTTGTTTTTATGTGGTTTTTATTTTTATTTTTTATTTTTTTTAATTTTTGACTTAGGAGGATTTTGATCCTCCATTTCTTTACGTGTTCTCCTCCATCCAGTAATATTTCTTTTGCATTTAAGAAAAGGAAACTGCTACCTTTTAAGAGATATATTGCTCAATTTTTTGATGCATGATTATAGGTGATGAGAAAGAAAAGCAAATGTCTTGTTAAGAAGGGGTAAAATGCGGATGAGTCTTGATATTTCTTGATGATGGCAATCTATTTTTTTTTTTTTATTTTCTGGTTGAACGAATTTGTCTTTGACATGATGATATTTTTCAAACCTAAGTTTTCTAACTTGTTCAATATTAGATATATATTTTTAGTAGCACTTTTTGGATAGACTTAATCTATTTGGTATTGTTTGGTGGCTGAAGTCACTATCAGTTAAGGGGTTTGCAATGCCTGGTAAGACTAAATATCGTGCTTGATTTCATTTCTTTTCTGTCTTTGGAAATTGGAGCTGTTTTCTTTAACTTAACATGTTGTAAAACGTCGTAGTTGATATGCAAAATATATGTTTCAGATTGCTAATCTTCTCAAATTTTCAGGTCTTCTTTTTTTCCTTTTTTGGGAGATCGGGGTGGGAGGGGGAAAGGGTATTGTCTGATTTTTTTTTAGAATTTTAATATGAATTGATTTCGGGATTCTGACATTTTAAGCACTTTCTTGCTCTTGTTTTGCCAGATATTTACAGCAGCAAGCATCCCCATCTAATAGAGCAATATATGATTGTCATTTTTTTAATACATATTTCTACAAGAAGCTCAAGGAGGCTCTATCCTTTAAGGTGGTTCCTTTTCTTGGTCTCCAAGTGATTACTTTTACTTTTTTATAAGAAAATGTGTCCAAAGCCGTGTTTTGCAAATTTCTATTGAGCAAATTTGAATAGGACATTTTGAAACTTGGACTTCTTAAACTAGACACTGATCTTGGCAATGTTTGTTGAATTGCTGCCAGAATCATTAAAACTTGTGACTGGATTGAGCAATTCGATAGTCATTTTAACGATCTTGAGATGTAATAAAACTTGAGAATAAGGCGTAGAAAGTTTCTATTTAGCTTCCATTTCCGTAAGGGAGAGATTAATCTCGTGCCGAGCAATCCTTTCAGGCCTTCCAAAATAGTTATTGTCATTCTCGTTCCTTGAGAGGTGGCGTGATCAGAAAGAATTCAAAGGAGATTCAACAAAGTTGGGTTGAGAATTTGAATTGTGTTTGTGATGCAGCACAAGTTGGCTTTTTCTTATAAAAGAAATCGGATCAAGAGAGAATAAATGAACTCTTGGGTAGGCTAGTTAGAAACGGGAGCTCCTGCCAATGTGGCATTCTTTGTTTGAAATGCCTCATGGAAAGATTTAGTTTTGTCTTTTTGTTCTTTTGGGGGGAAAAAATGCTATTCCCAAGGCACCAAGGGAATATCCCATTTAAGGAAGGGCATTTACATGAGATATGATAATGTCCTTATGATCTTCACCATCAGTGAGAGGATGAACCCTGAAGAAGATACACAAGATTAGAAACTAATGGTTTCTAACTTTGTCAAAAGGATCCTCTCGAATGAGCCCTTAGCAAGTGTTCAAGATAGGTCAAAATGGGTGAAGTTAGGTAAGCACTCTAGAGCCTCAAATGGAATCTGAAGTTAGGGACCATAAAAAAACTCTTCAAACCAGACATTCTCAACCCAACTAACATTGAGGAGGCTGAGGGATGGATCTCACTGACTTCTTGCCTCTAAGTGCCATAGGAGTGGATGACCAGGGAAATCATTCTTGTGAAGATGAAGGGACTATCAACTGAATTTTATCCATTAATTATCAAAAGTCAGAATCCCAAGGAGAAAAACGGTTTCCGAGGAAACCTCTTCCATATTACTTGATTATGGGAGAAACCATTAGAGTAGAGGGATTTCACCAACCCAAACTGTCTTTACTGAGAGTTCATGCTGGGATGATCCTTCTCATTGGGTGGAGCCCGCAAGAAGGAAAAGCTAGTAAATGAGGTGTATCTTTAACGTCCCAGTCATTCAGATTGCAGCGAATCGTATATTCTAGATCTGTTCCACTCTATATGCTATATCCCATGAGAGCCTCCTTATCCCTGGCCGGAGTGAAAATGCTCGGGAGGCTGTTTGCTACTCATGAAAAGATTCTAAGCCATGTCAATCAGAGGACACAGGAGAAGTTTCTGGTTGATGAATGCTTTCTGTACAAGAAAATTATAGGGTGGTCAGTCATCCCCTATTCTGTTGACCGTGGGCCAGTTTGACTTTGGAGATGATACTTTCTTAAGTGGAAAGATAGAGAGCAATTTGATTGACTAGATCAAGCTCATTGATGATACTACGTGGGAACTAAGACATTTGTTGCCTGTTTCCTTAATCTGTCTTTCAAATGGTGTACTTAGAAAGAGGTTGAAGAGATTTTGGAGGCATGTAGGTCCCCATGCTTACTAAATATAGATGGCTTTACATTTCTGACTTTTGGTTCAATGATAATTGTTTAGAAGATCATCAGGGTTTTTATGTACTTGACTGATTCTAATCCATATTGCATTCCTATTTGTCACATTCCTCCTTATCCAGGCTCATTTTATGATAGTAATCTCTTGTCATATGTAGGGGAATGACAAAGAGGCTTTTTTTGTCAAGTTCAGACGGTGGTGGAAAGGTGTCAATATATTCCAGAAGGCATACGTGCTAATACCAATACATGAAGAGTAAGGATGTAAACTTGACAAATTATTATTTATAAATATCCTTAGTTGCCCTTTGTTTGTTTCTTCTTGTTTTCTTGAGTTCAGACAATGTTTATTCTTTCTTGAGGTCTTGATGGTCAAAACACCCAGAAAATTTGGGTTGTAACTTTTACAGTATCATTATGAGATTAGTAAAAGCAAACAGATCTACTATCCAAACCAGTTTACTTCTTCATATCTCTGGTTCCTGAGTACAAGAATTATAGTCTATGCACTTGTAAGACATTCCTATTCTCTAGTTCTTTTGTTGAAAAGACTCTTATTATGAATTATAGAGGAGTATAAAAAAGTTTAGGCTTCTGGTTATATGAATCACCTTCTTCTCCAAGGCAAGCCTTCCTATATGTCTCATTTCAAGAATGCAGGTGAAAGATCCAATCAACAATTGGCCAAGCCCCTCTTTGTTGGGGATAAGGCTTAGCTTCAGGACTAATGGATGAACTAAAATAAGATATTGGCAATTAGAATTTGATAGTTGAGGAGAATATTGGTATATAAAGATGGATTCTTAAAATCTATACTTACGGAAATGTGTTTTCATGTGTCTTACTCATGCATTTACTATCTGCCTTTGTGCCTTGTGTCGTGATTTTACCACTGACTGTCATCTGCCTCAGCCATTCCCAATCCATCATCTTTCGGTTGTCATGAACTTTTAGAAATTTAGCAGAAAGTAATTTAATCTCCTTATCCCAGCTTGCTTCAGATAATTTGACTTAATTATTATGTTTTATATATTCAGTCTCCATTGGAGCTTGGTGATTATTTGCATTCCAGACAAGGAAGATGAATCTGGACCAATAATCCTTCATTTAGATTCCTTAGCATTTCACTCTAGCAGATCAGTCTTTGATAACATCAGAAGGTGAGTTTAAACAAACTCCTGCCAATTGGTTCAATAACAATAATGCGATTTACCTGTTCATTTAGTCTTTCTAATTCTTCAGAAATTTAAGAAAATTTAATGGTGAAGAAGCTTCCAATTTTCGGAAGGAAATCGGCGAAGGAAAATTTATTATTGAGTGTATAGATCACGGGGGAATTTTACTTGTTCAATGTTAAATTTACTTTGATGGTTTTAAGATGCCGATTTCTCTCCCTCCCAGGAAAAAAGAAACTACATGATTTACATCATGAGATGCCTTGTTAAATATTTAGTTTTATCAATTATAAACGCCTCCTTAATGTGACTTTTAAACGTAGAAACGGTTTTAATTATGTTTTGTAGTTATTTGAAGGCTGAATGGAACTATTTGAATCAAGATGTTACTCCCTTGGATCTTCCAATTGCAGACAGAATATGGAGGCACCTTCCTCGTAGAATTGATGAAAAGATACTTACGGTTAGCTTTTCTTGTAAATTTCCAAAATTATTGGTTGCATACTATGATTGTTTGATGCTAAAAATTATTTATTGGTTGCGTCTATGGTTGCATGCTATGATTGTTTGGAACTCTCACTGAAACATTCTTTGCTACCAGGTTCCACAGCAGAAAAATGATTATGACTGTGGTCTCTTTGTACTTTTCTTCATGGAACGTTTCATTGAAGAGGCTCCAGAAAGGTTGAAAAAGAAGGATCTGGCAATGGTACATTTCTTCCTTTGTTCTCTTTTCCTCTCTCAACCTCTGTTCTCTTTTCTTCCTTTGCCACGAAGACATTTGGAATTGAGGAGGTTATTGCAGGTGCACTAATTTTTATCTTCTGCTTTATTTTGTTAACATCTATATTTCATTTCAGTTCGGTAGACAGTGGTTCAAGCCTGAAGAGGCATCTGGTTTGAGAGCAAAAATCCGGCATATTCTTTTAGAGCAGTTCAAAAAAGCTTGCAAATGAGTGGTGTCTTTAAGAATCCTCCTCTCTTGTCCTCGAGGAGATGTTAATTGGAGATGCAATTACTTTCAACAATGAAAGTATACTCACAGCGATCGTGTTCGATATACTGAAGGCAAAACAGGTAAAAAAAGAAAAAAGAAAAACAAGAAATCTGTACAAAAAGGAAATTAATTGAGAAAGCATAGTCACCAAGAAGGCAGATGAGATGCCAGTTTATCTTCAATTTAGTGCTGAAAGGTTTTGGTGACTTTTAAAAAAAAAGAAAAAAAAAAAGAAAGCTAGTCTGCTGTACAGGGAACAGCTTGGAATGGTGGTCACCAAATACCACCATGTTAATTGTAATCAAAAGTTTTCTTTCATTCATACTTTCTCTCTCTCTCTCTCTCTCTCTCTCAAATCAGTTAGTCATCCAGCGGAAACCCTCCCCCCCCCCCCAATTTTATTTTATTTTGGTTAACATAACACTTAAAACGAGAGTTTGGAGAGATTGGGGTAAGGCTCTTTGCGTTAAATACTAATTATATTTTTTCAATTACTATATTATTACTGAGGTTACATACTGTAATATTTATAATTATTACTTATAAATAATTTTTTTAAGAAGCGGAATCAAGCAAAGAATTAATCGACATATATATATATATTTTTTGGTTGGCAGACATATTCTGAAATAAGTCCTTCTCCACCTTAATTAAAGAGAGCAGTGGCTGGCTTCTGTCCTTTCAGTATATGTATTATTTTATATGTAGAAATTGTTTTAAGTTTAATATTTTTAAAGTTATAAATTTAACTATACGTAATCATTAAAAATTAAAAAAAAATAAAATAAACGTCATCCTCTATACAAACTTAAAAAAAGAAATTCAAAATTAATCTTCTTCAACCAAAAAAAATAAATAGTCATGCATAACTGTTAGATATACAAAGATTTCATACAAGAAAAATTGAAAGATGTTTTACATTCTTCCTATCTACAAGCCAACACAAAACTATTCTCAAGTTCCAATAGGCGAATGAAAGCCAAAGCAGCGGAGAGGATGGTGAGAAGTCACAACTTTTCTGCCGTTGGATGACTTAATATTGTTTAACATTGACACCACCTCTTCCATTTCTGGTCTCTTTCTCGGATCAGGATCCCAACATTGTCTCATTATTTTCGATAAGGAATCAGGGCAGCTTCTCGGTATTGTTGGTCTTCTGTTCTGCACAACATACATTTTAATTTGTTAGAATTTTTTTCTTTCTTAAATCTTTGATTACTGTTGAGTTCAATTCTAGATTAGAATAGAAGGGTAATACCCAAAATTAAGAAAAAGAAAAGAAAAAATTGGCACCTGATAAACAACTGCTGAAGTCAATTCTGTGAAGCTAAGGTTTGGGTAAGGCATGTCACAGCAGTATATCTCCCCCAAGCAAATTCCAAAACTGTATACATCGCATTTCCTGTTATATGGCTCGTTTTTTATAACCTGTGACATGTTGCCAAGGTAAACACTTCATATGTGTGTATATATTTATATATTCCATAAATAAAATTGCAATTGTATCTATACTACTATATGTATGGCATTGTATGTATGATCGTATGCATGCGCACAAACGTACCTCAGGAGCCATGTACCCAAGTGTTCCAGTAGTTCCCGTCATCTCACAAGGATTCAAAGCTTCAAGTCGAGCAACTCCAAAATCTGCTATTTTTAATTTGAGATTTTTGTCGAGAAGTACATTTTCTGTCTTGATATCTCTGTGAACAATTTTTTTAGAATGTAGGTAATTTAACCTGAAAGAAGGAAGACATAGAAATATCTCAATTTCGTTTTTAAAAATTTGATTAAATCAAATATTAATTTTCAAGATGAAGATTATCAATCTTGATTTCTTCAGTTTAAAAATAAACAATACAAGAGAAGAAAAGACAAGTCTTACCCTTGAGCAAGGTCTAGTGCCAATTCTATGACGGTTTTAAAGGGTAATTTCTTCTTCCTGTTGCTTATAAGATATGATTTCAGAGAACCTTTAGTCTCGTACTCAGTAACTATACAAGATACGTTGAATGGCTTCCCAATTTGATTCTCATAAGCTTGGTTTGATGTAGTTCCCATTATTGCACCTATAAACTGTGAAAGAATTTCAGAATGTAATACCTTACTTCAGTTAAATCAAAAGCATTAAACAACAACAGTAATAGAAAAAAAGAAAAATGAACAGTATTAGTATTACCTTATTGATATTAGGATGATCGAGTTTCTGCCACAAAGAAATCTCCTGTTTCAGAGCTTTTATACCCGATGACGTTTTCGTCGTTCTTCCTTTCCCATCACCCCATTCAAGTACTTTAACTGGAACAAGTAAAGAATTGGTAAAAAAAATTCAATCATATATTTAAACAAACAAATGGGTTATTGTAAAGTTTAAAGAAGATCTTTAAATGTGGGTAACCTGCAACTTCTCGTCCATCGTAAATCCCTCGAAGGACAGTCCCAAAGGCACCTCTACCGACGATTTCTTCTTTGACGAGAAGCTTTTGAACGTCGATCTCCCATTCTTCTCTAACATCCTTCGTACTGATTTTTACTCTGTTGTAGTACATCTGTAGCTGATCGTCCATCATGTTTAAATCAATCTTTTTCATCTCTAATTTTACAGACCCTTCTCTGGAGTTGGCCATAAGTTGGGAAAAAAGTCTGAAGAAATTATGTATCACACTAATTCTTATATAGCAACTGAAGTTGGACAATACGAACTGGTTTCGGGTTACGAGTTCAGAAGCCGTTGCGGCTTTTCCTTTTTTTTTTTTTTTTTTTTTGTTTCATTCGAGCCAGAGAACTTTTTTATTAAAAAAAAAAAAAAAATCCAACAAGAAGTTCCCAGAGAAAAAAAAAAAAAAAGGAAGAAGACGATCTTTTGTTGGAAACGGAATAAACATATCAAAAAACTAAGAAACAAAAACCGGACCTTTTGTCTTTTAAACCCATATCATATTCTTTTATCTGTTATTTTTCAAACTTTACTCTGTTTTTAAAATTATGCAATCTTTACTCAAATATATGTTTTTCAAAGTAAAAACTCAAAATGGTTAAATAAAATTTTATTAATATTTAGAGCAAAATACAAATTTCATACTATGTGATTTGGGGTATTTTAGATTTAAATCAAGAATTACTTTTAAAAAAAATTTAGCATTATAACTTAATCAATAATTTAAAAATTTAATAATTGTAGATAACTCAAATTAGTAAAAATTAAAGAAAAAAGATTGCATTGGATTTATCACACAAAAATTTTATTAGAATTTCCTCAATCTGACTCTTTCTTTTGTATTGTTAATTTTTTATTTAGTCTTATTAATTTTAGCTTTTTGTTAAAATTGTAAAAAGTTCTCAACATGTCAAAATTTTTAAAATAAAAAATGTTTAAATATTTAATTACCATTGAGACTACTAAGCTATATCATATATATATATATATATATATAATATGAAACTCTAAATCTCGTAGTATTAAATTCAATTTTCTATTGATATTTTTATAGTAGCTAAAAATTATAGGTAAAATTACTCTTCTTACCGCCAGTGAGTTCAAAATTTTAACCTTCCTTTAAAAAATATAAATGTATTTCAACACAGCAGAAAGTATCCCCAACTAATGTTGTCATTTTAATACATACTTTCAGAAGAAGCTCAAGGAAACTTCTGTCATCCCAGGTGGCTACTTTTCCTTGGTTCTAAACGAAGTAGAAAGTCTACTATAACGAATTCTTCAGTCACAAACTAAGGAATGTACACATCACCCATAAACATCAAGCGGTATTCCTAAGTCAACTATAACGAAAATTTTGACTACAACTACTTTCAGCAAGGGGAATAAGTACTATTGAGATTGTCCAACTGTAAGATGTCTGCCTCTGTATATGAGAGCGAAGTGCGGGAATACAGAATAACATATTTGCTCAGGGTAATTTTCTTTGCAGTATTCTGTAGGGCAATTTTTCTTTGCAGTTTTCTATAAGCTGTATGTACCGTATCCATGTACGTACCAGCTCCAGCTGATGGTGGAGCGGAGGTAAGACAGCAAGTACTCACTTCCCCCGGTGTTTCTTCTTCTCAGGGGTTGCATGGACTTGTGCTTTCATTCCATATGTCCTCAGCTGAAAGTTCTCAAATGCATCAGAAACTTCTCCCACCTGTGACAGCATCCCATGAGTTAATTGCCAAGTATGAAAACTACATTAATGAGTTCAGCAAGGTACTTTGCCAACTAACCAGTTCAGCTTTCTTGGAATACACCCTTACGAGCATATCTTGATAAAATGCCGGCAGCAAGTGACTAATACGATCATCTCGTATGAAGAATTTTTCATCGCTTTCATAATCCTGATAAAAACCCACCCAGTTAAATCAGAATCTATTACTTTACGAAATATACTCTTAGCCTGAATCATAAAGGGAATTTTTTGGTTGCTTACCTCTTCTAGCAAGCAAAAAGTATTGAACATTTAAAAAAAGGAGAAAAAGTATTGTAAACAGATTTAACCTACCAACTTCGCTAGGTTTACATATATGGTATGTGTGTGTATATATAGAAATATTATAAGAGGAGACTTCCAGCTTTATTAGCAGAGCTGCTTTAATAATCTGATGGGACTACGATACAGGCTGTCTTTAGGAAAGGCAGTGATATTAAGTACCTTAAAAAATTTGATGCTGGACAACAAAACAACAAAAACAATCAATCAATAGAGGTAGCAGTCACATATCCATAAAAAAAGAGCACATCATAGTCATCACATGATTCCTTCTCAAATACCTTTCTAAAGGGTTATTCCTTCCACGAGTCAAATCAATCCTAACATTGCTGACAGCGATATCTTCTTCTTTAAGCGTGACGCCACTAGATTTCTGGTTAAGAAAAATATCTTCTCAGCAAATGATATATTTTCTCTTTGAGAATGATATAACGAGAAAATAAAATGTTTGAAACCTGGGAACAAACAATATCTTTGGGAGTGACATCTTTGAAGTGCTCTAGCTTGTCTTTGGGAACAGAGAATTCATTGCAGAACTGGAAAGCATAATAAAATACTAGGTTTGTATGTTATACCACTTCAGTGTTGGTACTATTAATGATACTACCATGGTCTTGTTAAGAAACTGTCTCACCTGATATAAATCCCTTCTTCGAATACGTAAAATCAAATCTCTTGACTCCTTGAGCTCTGGGGCACTAGAGGTTTCAATTATTTTCATGATTGAGTCATCTATCTGTGCAATTATCAAAAGGAAAGCATTAGTGCTTTAAGCATAAAGTCAAATTGGAAGTTTAGCAACATTCTAAAAGCTCATAAAACCTGCAAAAATTTATCAAGCTCAAAAATTGCATCTGAAATGTGTAGGTAATCGTTTGCCTTCAAAAGCGCATCTACAAACATGAGTTCAATTGCCTGAGAGCAGAAAAGTTGTTAAATGAAGAGCACTAACTGTTTCTAAGATATTAAAAATTGAACACTTCTGAAGCAGAAGATGAAACATGTGGGTTCAAACAAGCCACCTTTACTTTTGCATGTGTATAGACTGTTCGGTGCAAATCAGCACGAGTCGCAAATAACTTGTGAATCGTAAGGTCTGACCAAAATACCAAGTATTAAGGGAAGAATATGACAAATGCAAGTACAACTGTGGCAAGAAAAAGCTTCTTAAAATACTAACAATCCTTTGCGCGGTAACATATCTCATCACCCATAACTCTCATGGTTTCCATTAACCTACAAGAGAAATAAAAATTGATTCAATTATCAGACTTGTTTGAGTGAATAAAATCATGATAGGCGTGTAACGCCGAGTTCCCCCAATGTGTATTTCTCTGTCACGCATACTCCAATTACAGGATGGCCTTAGGTCTTCAGCATCTATTTTTGCAAATATCAAATACTTAACAGGATATCAATACCTTTCAAACAGGAAATTGCAGCCTAGACCACATGCTCGTGAGTCACGAACAATATAGTCAAACCTGTAAAAAGAGTTCTAATGACTTCCTATTTCAATGCCATTTATCAATAAGAAACCTGGAGGAAAAGCATGGAAAGAAAAAGGAGATCAATTGAATTACTTGTCAACATCAATCCCATTCCTATTGTTTGCAACTATATCGTATAAGAACTGCTTTTCGTTCACATTCTGCATTTTGAGATAGGACAATAAAATTTTAAAATCCAATATCAAAACAGGTAAAAAGAGCACGCAATAAGCCCCGACTATTGAATGTCTTACTCTTTTTGAAGCATGTCCTGAACTAGCAATCATTTCCTGTCAACAAAGCAATTATATCATGCCATGTATTTATTTATACTAACCTTTGAAAGTAAGTCAACAAATTCAAAGAAAAAAAGAGGCAAAAATGTGGAAGAAATTAATGTTAAGACAATCTGATGTAGGGAAAATTGAGATAACTACATATTTATCATCGAATGATGATTTAAAGAAGGAACACCATGAAGAAGTAAAGAGATTCATTTGCAAATCCACATTGTGTGTTTTGAACATAGCCTTAAGGGTTAAAAGTAGGGAGCGGATGCATGGAATATTAGGGACATGTGGAGGCAAGGATGATGTTGAAAACCACAGGATAGAAAAAAAAGTAACTAGACATCAAACGTCACGAAGGATCCCTTAAGCATCATACAATCACAAACTTCACAACTACCATAAAAGTTCTTTGAACAATTGGGAGAACAAGTATTTATAGGCTTTAATGTATCCTGATCCACTTAGAACTAAAAAATTTAATAGGAAGTTTGATAATGGATTCTCATCCATGAACAATACATAAGACCTAAAAATTAATAATCTGCCCTTATATTGATACCAATTAAATAAAATAAACCAGCACTCTGAAGTTGGAAGAAACATAATTCATAACTTCTCTGCAAACAATCATTTGGAAGCACGAAGGGAAATTTATTCCAAAAGAGAATAATGATGTAACTATTAGCATCATGTGGTTCAAGGTGTTGGAGAGGACTAGAAAAAGCTGCCCAAAAATGGAGCGAAAAAAGAAGGGGGAGGGGGATCTGAGTGAGCAGGAAGCAGGGAATAAAAAAGAATTTGTCTGTCGTATTATGTTAACCTCTAATGAAATACATTAAGGAGAAGACTTCTAGGCATTCTCTAAACCCTAATCTTTCAACAACTGAAGAAGGCTGCATTGGACTATGAATAAAGTGATTTGGAGTCCAGAAAATAATGCTACAGGAATACTTGATTATCAAAGTGAAAGAGGGAAGTGGGCGAGACAGACCTTCACTTTCTTAAGATTCTCAGAGTCAATGTCAATATGGTGTGCACTCACAAATGTGGTCTATCATCTTCAGAGACATGTCCTCATGAGACCTGGAAGTGTTAAATCGAAAAACAAAATGGTCTCTTAAATTCTCCCGCAGAAAGCAGTTGGTTACCATAGCCACTGAAAAGCTAAAAAACTTCTGAATAATAGAAAAGATAAAATATTCCATCATTATAACTACTGATAAAACCTAAAAGATATACTGATTTAGATTTTTCTACTCACAAATAGCAAAATAACATTTTTTAACAGCAGTCTTTTCTTTCTCCATATCTTTTGTCATTATACATAATCAACATTCTAGCCTGTAGAGCATGAATGAAAGAATGTATACGATAGTAAAAATTAAAAAAGGCTTGAAGTGATCCTGGGAAAAGGACTAGTTGTAAATGATAGTCAAACTGATATGGCAATGTTTGTTAAATATTTAAGCAAACTGATAAGGTCAACAAGTTAATGTGCTAAAATAGTAAAGTGCATGAACAGATATGATGTTTATAAGCTGGGAACACAACTGGGTTAAGAAAACATGATACTGAATCCACAAGATTTTGTGAATCACGGCATACAATTGGCATATCATATGGATCAGGCTATTCCAAGAAGATATTCATCAGGAGAAAGTAAATTTATATCTAAAATACAAAAACCACCATCCTTCTATGTTTTCATAATAGAAACATTTAAGTACATTAGCAGAATTAACTATTAAATATTTGAATAATATAAGCATCTACTTGAAAACTAGACATTATTGCTCTAGAAAAAATGATTTCCAATATCTTGAATACCATATTTGTCTTCAGCAACACATAAATAAGAAAGAGGTATCACCATTCGAGGTTATTAAAAATCCGAGGAAGAAACTCGCGCTCGAACATGTGGCTGAATGGTCCATGGCCAACATCATGCAGTAGTCCTGTATGGAATACCAGTAGAGTAATAAATACTAAGTAACAGATTACTGAAAAAAGAAATTGAAGTTAAAATGGCACCCTTAAACATTTACCAGCAAGTTTCACTCTTTGTATGTCAAAACGATCAATACCAAGCTCCAAGCCCTGCAAATAGCAGGCATTTGAACATAAGCATCCATTAGCATTGGTCCCAAAACTAGAATGAATATGATTGTTGGACATATAAACTATTCCTACTTGGTGAGTTTTAATTGTATGAACGGCTTCACTTGCAAGCCAATAAACCCCAAGTGAATGCTCAAACCGAGAATGCACAGCTCCTGGGTAAACCATGTTCGTTAGACCTACATCCAATTAGAACTTTGTTTAGCTCTTGGGTAAGTATACAGCTGCTCTTACATGTAGAAAAGAAACCATTTCTTTACAGATAACATTAAAGTGAGCAAAATTTTTACATGAATCATTTGTTACAATACTGATTTTGAACTGATATAAACAGTGTGGTTAATGAAAATGCACAATACAATAATTGGTCCACGAAATTTGCAGACTAGTGTCTACTGTGTCCATCATTGCAGGGAAAGAGCAGGTTTAACTATACAGGAAATTAAGTATAACCATAACCACAAATTTGAGGAAGTGCATATATTGAAAGAATCAGAAAATTGGCATTGTTCTACACATAATTCTCTGTCACGACATAAGTTATCACTCCATTAATGAGGACAAATTGATAGATTAGGGAAAAGAATAAAGAAAGAAATTGAGATTAGGAGATATTTAGCGAGTTCTCAATCTATTGTATTCATTTGTTGACCAAAATAAGAGTACAAGTTCAAAACCTCCTCACTATAGTCTGTGGCCCCACCAATAGACGCTAAGATATAGTAAATTACAACTGATTGACTATTGTGACTATTAACACATAGTAAAAAATTATAATTCCCCAATTCCTGACATAAACCTCCTTCAAATTTTAAGAAATCATTTAGAAACATTTGGATAAAGGAGTGTGCCCAGTAACAAAGATCTCCAGAATTTGCATTATTAAAAGAGTTGAATAAGATAGTTAGAACGTGCAAATGTTTCAGTCAAGCTTATCCTCCAACTGATAGCAGACCTTTTAACCATGAACAAACAAGTAATTTCATCATTTGGTGCATTACAAGTAATTATGAACAAATTAATGATAATAAAAATGAATGAATGTGTGACTGAAAGATGTTGACATCAGAATGTTTTGTCTATACAAAAGCTAAATTTACTGTTAGGTAAATGTGTAAATTCCAGCAGGAGAGAAACTAGAAAGGTTCAAGTTTATGGTATCAACGTGGCCAGTACTAAAATTGGGACTCTTTTTCCACAAGACCTAAAAATCCAGACTCGGATGAGAGAAAAAAAGTCTCTAAAGATGATCTTAAAACAACATATTGAATGGTGAGAGAAAGAACAAGAAAGTAATGCAAAATTAAAACCTCTTAAGATACTAACATTCCACGTGTATAATCCAGAAAAAGTACCACTTACCAAGTTGCTTTAGATCACGCAGTCTGCAAGAGAAGTGAGGACGTTAAAGGACTTCTAAATTACAAGAGGAAGAGAAGTCTTATGTGCCTCGAACTTACCTCTGAAACTGTTCCGTATCAATGAATTTCAATGACAGCTGCATGCAAAAGAAAAATTAACACTATATTATTATTCATTATTCCAATGGAGTACCAGAATTTGCAAGTCAACGGAAAAAGAAACCTCCTAAAAGTAGAGTAGTAGTACAGAAAAGCACTCAAACAATCAGCTTATTCCACGAAAGGAGCAATGAGGTACTATTGCGAACACAACAAAGATACTATCAGTGTACTTAAAGAGAAGGAATCTATCAAACTTTACAATAATAAGTGACACATATACTGTACTTAGTTGATAATCAACAGAATAATCGGGACTAAAGCCTTTTAATCAGATTTGATAGAAGGAATATTCAGATAGAATTTCCTCAAGAATAATTCCAAAAGAAATTTTAACACAAATAGTAACCACGACAACAGGATTTTAGTTTTAAAAGAACAGTTAGGTTGTCCTTCTCAAATATACGTCTCTCTCACTCTTGTTTTCTTTCCAACTCTTTCGACTTAACAGTCTACACAGCTTCCGTATCTTAGTCCGCCATAGATTTCGATGATTTCAAGTTATTCCTCCCTCCTTTATCTTTCACTAAGGAACCATTTTAAGGGGAAGAAAAGGAAGAAGAAGACGCAAAATTCTGTGAAATTCAGCGTCTATAACTTTAAAATAGCACGTTAAATCATTTTCCACAATCTGAATTGACAAACAAATGGAACTGAGTTCAAAAATCAAATTTCAGAAATGTTTATGTTGAAACAAAAAAGACGAGAGAAAAACTAAAAAGCAAAATTTATAGTAGTTACCTGGTCCAGATAGATGTTGCCATGGACATTGTCATGAACGTGCTTGGAGAAACGGCGATCATGAGAAGAATTGAAGTAGAGATGAACGATCTCTTCGTCTGTCCAAGCTCCCATTGTTTATCGAGTGACAACTTGACCGGCGCAGAAACAACAGAAGTTTGTCGAGCTGCAAAAAGAACTATATTTCGAATTCGAACTCGATTATAGCGAACCTAGGGTTTTGAACAGGTTAAGTGGTGATTGGTTACTATGAGAATGAGGAGTGGCGAGGTGGTGAAGTTATGCCGCCAGAGAGGGGGGGGGGGGGAGGGGGGGAGCCATGCGCGTGGAGTTTACGGACCAATCAGGGATGGGGAAATTCTGTCCATACGTCTGCTTTTGAAGCGTTACATGAATGTGTAATTGTCCTTTATAACTGTTTTTCAGGTGGAGAAATGATGATACGTTATCAATTAAAGGAAAAGATAACGGTCAAATTGGCGAGTGCGAGGAACTAAAGGGTCAAATTAACAAGGAGCAAAATCAAATCCAAAATGTAATTAGTTTAGCAAAAAGTTCCGTTAATGGTAGACAATTTTCCTTCTAGTTTTATCGCCTTTCATCATTTCTCTTTATTTTTTATTTGGTTAAATATTTATTATTTTGAAATTATTTTTATTTCTGAAGATTTGGATAAATCTAATTTTACAAAATTCTTTAATTTTTTTTATGTTTAATAATTTTTCTTATTCTTTTAAATACTCTGCTTAAAAAACACTTTGTTTTTAAATTATGTTTCCTTTTATTTTCCCATTTAACCAAATAAGAGTGACTTTGTTTTTTTAAATTATCATAATTTTCTTTATTTAATTCTACTTTTTTGTTTCTTTTTTACACGTATTACTTTTTTTTATAGTTTTTTTTTTTATTTTCTAAAATTTAATTTTTGCTGAATTATATATGTTGTTCTTTTTTTTTTTTTACTTACTACTTTCCCTTATTTTATTACTTTTTATTTTTTAAATAATTTTTATCTTTAATTTTTTTAACATTTTCCCCATAATTTCTTTTTGTTGTTATTAATTTTACTTTCATCAGGTAAAAATATTTTTTTGGTCTTAAGGTTATAATTTAATTTTTACTCAAATCTAATTTTTTAAATAAGTTCTTTAATTTTCTGTTATTTACTATCTTTTCTCATTGTGGTAAATATATATATTTTAAAATTTTAGAATATTCCTTAACCTTTTTTTTCGTTTCCCTTTTTTATTTCTCAATATTTTTTATTTTTTAGTTTCTTTAAAAAATTATTTTCAAATCTATATTTTTCATTTATATTTTTACCAAACCAATCAAATTAACAATTTCACTGTCTGTCAAATTAATATATTAATTTATTTTTTAAAATTTATATTTGCACTTATTCTTGGTAGTATTTATTATCTTTTGACTAAGTTTTCATAGTATTTGTGTGTATTTTATTGTTTTAATTATAACAAGATTTACATACTCTGACATACATGATTCTTTGTTACATCCCGGATTTGGGATAATTAGTCTTGTATGTAATACTCGGCCTCAGAATTTGACCCATGATTAATTTTAAAATTTAAAGAATGTATGAAAATCTAATTTTGAAATTAATAAAATTTAATTTAATGTGAATTGTGGAAAAAAATATGTTGAGAATGAAAGTGAAAATAATTTTAGAAAAAATGGGTAAAAATTTGGATTCAGATGATGTTTTTTAAAAAAAAAAATCGAAAACTAGGGGTCATAACGCAATTAAGAAAAATTTACGTCACGTAGGACCACTCAATCAGCAGCCCCGATGAACTGGAGCGTGCCGCGTGGTAAGGCACGCTGACTAAGTGCCACGTGGGCGATCTGCATGCCCGCTATTGGACGGTTCGAAAGCGTTCCTGCGCGCGTGGACGGTTCAGATTCGTTCTCTCATCGGGCACGATTGGACAGTCGCGATTAAACGCGATGAACGACTCAAATTCGTCCTATCTTTTAACGCAATCGGACGTTCGAGATCAAATCGTGATGAACGGTTCAGATTCATTTCTTTTTTAAATGCAATCAAACGATCGAGATCAAACGCGATGAACGACTCAGATTTCGTACCACACCAAACCCAAACCCTAGCCGCCAGCCTCCCGCTGGAGAAGAAGAACCAATCGCCAGAGAAGGGAGTCGATCGTCGCTCGATACCACGCCGGAGCCATCTTTAACCGCAAAAAAAAGGTAAAAATTCACTCATCTGCTCGAAATTTGATTCTGAGCACCCCTATGGCCAAATCGAAGAAAAAGAAATAGCAGGTGAGCAGGAAATTGCGAGCGAAGCCCAGCACCGCCGACGTAGGCAAAACCCGAAACCTCCTCTGATGAGCCCATTTCCGTTTCTCATTTCGTGTGATTTTTCCACCATTGTATTCACCGTTTTATTTTCTACAAACTGACCAAAGAAAAATGCCCAGTCGCGAAGGTGAGTCAGCGGAGGTGCCGCACCAAAAAATTCCGCTGTCGATAGGTTTCTGTTTTTTGACTTTTTGGGCCAAGCGAGGCCCCCCTAACGTGTTTTCTCGCAAGAATGAGTATAAAATCGGTCGAAAATAACCAGACAGAGGCAAACTGCCGCCTCGGATGGCAGTGCCATCATCGGAGCACAGCGGTGCCGCCGTGCCGGAATTTCAAAATTGGCCGGAAAAGGTTTTTAACATCGATTTTAGATTTTTTTGGAGTATTTTTATATATGTGAAGAGTGTTTTAATCTCCACAAAAAAATTCAGAAAACTTGGGGACCGCTAGTAGGCATAGTAGAAAGTTCGGTATTTCGGATATCGATTCGGGTAAGAATCCCTCACTTTATTCTTTATTATGGAATTGAAGCTTAATAATCAGTAATATGATATTTTGTGTAATTTAGAACATTTTGAGAATAATTACAGGTTACCAATGGAGGTGGAACCGGTTAGTCATTTATTTGTTGTCCTGTGTAACTGATTGTTGAATTTATAGCTTTAAATACATGATGATATACTAGAATGGTTGAACGATTCAGTTGTGCTTCCTTGATATATATATTGCTTGTCTTGTGTGATTTATAGTTGATTTGTGAAATTGAAAATTAATATGCAAACGAAAAATTGATTGATCACGTGAATTAATAAGTGGTAGCCTTACTGGATATCCTATAAGATGGTGGACGGACCTAGTACATATGGAACCCTAATGTGAACATTGCCTCATACCTGACGGGGTATCGAGAAATGTTATTTTTGGCACTCATATCGGACGGGATATAAGGACGGCTCAATTCACTCTCATACCGAACGAGATATTGAGAGATGATATTTTTGGTGCTCATACCGTACAGGGTATGGGGACAGGTGGTTAGTTGAAAATGTTAAATAATAGTTCACGCGTAGCGGGAACATCCTATAGACCCCAATGGATATTAGTAGGCAGATAAAAAAGAAAATTAGTTATTATTGCCCACTTGAAAATGAGATTAGAATGCTATTTGAATTATTATATCTCTATAGGTCGATTTTGAAAATCTTGCAATAGTGAATATATGTAATAAATGATTTTTCCTTATGATAAATGAATTTACTTAAATCAAGAGCTCCATTGATTGTTTTTATGATTTTTACCAACTTTCAGTTTCTGTATTGGTGAGTAGTGTGATACTCTTACTGAAATAGTATAACTTACATTTTCATTAACAATTTCATATCAAGAGAACTAAAACTCAAATCCCAATCAATAAAAGGTTTGTGAATAGTTCACCACCCGTACTCCCTTCAAAAATTAGTGAAGGTCATCATAGAATGCTCAGTATATTATCTTTTATTTATTTCCTTGATTTTTATTTGTTCTTTTAAAAGGGTTATTTTCGTAACCTTATCAAACATTCTAAATTATTGTGTAAGGAGTGTAAATCCTAAACTCTACTATTTCACTTCCGCACTTAATTTATAACTTTATTTCCTTTTAAGTTCCGGGTCTTTTATATTGTAACAGAAAAATTAAAATTTTCATAAATGATAATAATAGTTAATATTTTATTATTAAAAAGGTACAAAAATAATCATTTAAAAATACATATATGCATGTTAGACACTTTTGAAATAAATTTCAGAAATTAGGGCGAATATGTAAAATAAAGGGGGGCATGCTTAAAAAAAACTTGAAAAACCGGGGTCACTTTATAAATTAAAAGAAACAGGCCATGCAAGATGCCCACATCAGCAGCATGGTGAATCGGGATGCAGCGCATCAACACAGGCTCCATGCAGGAAGCCCACGCTGGTAATCCGCGTGTCAGGCCAATCGGACGGCTTAGGGTCAATCTCGTGTGCGCAAATGGCCTAGATTGATTCCCTAAATAGGCTTGATCGGACAACCTACATGCCTCCACGTCTCTCAAGTTGAACGACCTAGACTGATCGAAGAGATGTATTTACCTCTCTTCAGTCGGCTCCTAAAACCTAGCCCACATCCTGACGGGAGAAAAAGAAGAAATGCAGCCATAGAAGAAGATTAGCTGCTGGAGGGACAACGGCGCCACCGTGTTGGAGAACCAAAACCCGTCGGTAAGCATAATTTTTCTTCCTGTTCTCTCTATTTTCTCATCATAGATCATTTAGACTAGCTCTAATGCAGGAAAAACTAAGGAAGGCCATAACCCGAGAGAGCCAGGCGACAGAGAACGGTTGTTCTGCCGCACTGAAAATAAAAAACCACCTCATAAAGCCAAAATTTCCTATTTTCTCCATAAAACACCCTTATTTCCACGATTTAAACTAATTTCCACCTGGAACCTACTAGAATCGATTTTCCCAAGAGGGAGAAATGCCGGAGAAGGAGTACGCGGTGCAGTTTGGCGGCGACACTATGCCAGAACCCCAACCTCACCTCGGTGAGTTTTTTCTACCCTTTTTCACCACTCCTTACGTATTTTCATGTCGTTTTAAAGTGTGTTTCTAAATTTTACCAGAAAACCCAAGAAATCTAATTATCAGGAATCACCGCAAACCGTAATTAAAAAAGACGGTGTTTTGGACTCCGATCCAGTGTAAGAGTCCTTCAATCTTTTCCCCTATTATGGTTAAATCAAAGTTTAATCGATAAAAGAAGGAAGTTCTAAACAGTTTTGTGACCCCTTAATGACAAAATATAGTTTTTCAATGGAGCTATAATCGATTTATTTATATTCGTTACTAGTTTATTCGTGTTGTCTATTCATTATTTTTATTCTTATTTTATTTTATTTGCTTATTTTTATTTTATTTTACTTTATTTCATTTTAGCATATTTCTTTCTACTTGGCCTAACACATTTCCATTTTTCTTCCATTATATCAATTTAGAACCAATGTATTAATTACGCTTCTTGAATCATTGGATTTTATTTCATTTCGCTTCAATATCACCTTCCACTTTACTTAATTCCACTTT